AATACTTCTTTGTGTCTTTAACAAACATCTGTAGCCATCTTGCAAGGCGGGCACTATTAAGGTGGTTTGGGTGAGAACGGCCCCCATGGGTTCATATGTTTGAAGACTGGGTCCCCATTTGGTGAAACCATTTGGGAAGGATCCGGAGGTGTGGCCTCATTGGAGGAGGTGTGTCCCTGGGGTCAGATGCCGTCTCTGCCTCCTGCTAGTGAGACGTGACTACTCAGCCACTGTTCTGCTACCTGCTGAACTGTGCTATTGCTCTGCTGGTATAAACTCTAACCTTCTGAATGGTGAGCCCAGTTAAACACTTTCTTTTATGAGTTGCCTTGGTCATGGTGTTTCATTAAAGCAATAGAACAAGTGATTGATTTGAAGCTAAATGAGAAAAATGATATCGCCCCCTGCATCAACCGCAGGGAAAGACAAGGTTCCAACCCGAGTCTCACCTGCCTCTTAAGGACCCCTCCTTCCTTCCCATATACTGTGTCAAATAGTCATTCAACGTCCCCTTAGGGTATAAACTATCACATCAGCTCTACATGAGTGGAGAAGGGAACCTGTTTCTGTGACTGTGGTTCCACTCACATGTCTAAAGCCCCGCGGATCACCATCCTAGCATCCTCCCTTGACCCCACCCCGCTGATGGCCACTAGCCCTCTTTGGAGACATGAGTCCCTACCTTTGGAGACCTTCACTGTTCACTGTTGCAGAGCAGAACTCCAGTGTGGGTCCTCAGATGGGTCCTCGGCTGGTCGGTCACTGTGCGTGGCTGGAAATACCTGCAGGGAGAAAAGACAGGTAGGAGGTAGACTCAGAGCCCGAGGACGACACAACTAGGAGAAGGGAGAGCCACTCAGTCAAGGTTTCCCTGCTGGGAAGCATGGCTTTGAACCTAGAACCAACTGGCTCTACCCAGATCTGCTGCCATAACTCCTCAGCACTGGTGTATGGGGCTAAAGTCTGGGGGTGCACCGTAGATGCTGTGCAGATTGTCAGGGGCCCTGTGGGCCCTTGCCAACACTAACCCAGCAGGCAGCGGACGTCGAGAAGGTGGAACAGTCGCTCAAGCGTCTGCCAGGCACCTACGACACATCCCTCCACACCATCTAGTCTTCCCAGGGCCTCTTCCCAGCAGGCATTGCTGCTCCTGCTTATGAATGGAAACTGGGCAGTGAGACGTCTCAGCAGGTAAAGACTCTTGCTGCCGAGGCTGACAACCCAAGTTCTGTCCCAGGGACCCACACGGTGGAAGGGAAGCAGGTCTTCAGGATTGTCCTCTGACCTCCATACATGAACATGGGCACATTCATGCCTGCACACATGTGCCAAACAAACAAATGAGTATATACATACATATATACATATATACATACATACATACTCACACACATACATACACAATACACACATACATACATAATACACATATACATACATAATACACACACATACATACACAATACACACATATATACATAATACACATATACATACATAATACACATACATACACTATTACATACATACATACTACATACATACATACATACACAATACAATACACACATATATACATAATACACACATACATACATACATACATACTACACACATACATACACAATACATACATACATGCTTGGAAAAGTAGAAACATGGAGAATAAAATGGTTCATGTTTATAATTCTGGCACTTGGGGAGACTGAGGCAGGGGGATGATGAGTGTTTGAGGCAAGCCTGGGTTACATAGTAAGGCTGCCTTCAAAAAAGCGTGAAAACTGAGGCTTACAAAGCCTTCTCTGAGCCTGCTGGTCACCGTGAATTAGACACAGACCTCCCTGTCCTGGTGACCTTGTGCGGGGACAAGTGACCCACACAGCCCCCAAGTGTTTGCAAGGCAGACTGCCAAGCTGGTCCTGAACCAGTCCCGTAACAACCCTGCTGGGTTTCTGTGGTGCGTCTTGAGAATTTGTGAACTTGGAGGTGCCTGAGGCAGTGGGTTGGGTGCAGGGTTCTGATTTGTCACCTGCAAGCTGTGCACTTCTGGGGCATATGACTTCTCTCTGAGCTTTGGGCTGCCCACTGAGAAAACAGGTTCATTCAGATCCCAGAATATGTTTGTGTGTTAGAGAGCAGTGGGCATCAGGACATAGGACACTTAGCTTGGCACGAATGAACACAGAAAGCCATCAATACTTAGGAGTGAAACCCTTAGTATTAACCCCAGTGAGACTGCCAGCCAAAGCCTCCCGTGTTACCAGCCAGCCACCCTGCGTTTGGGGCTGCTCCTCTGCGGCCTGGGCTCACCTCTCATTACGGGAAAGCACTCTGTTAAGTGAAAGCCATTTTTCACTGGGGCTCTGAGATAAAGAGACAGAGATGTGGGCTTGCACACGCCCACACTTTGCAGAGTGAGAGCCTATTCCAAGGGTATGCAAGGGATGAAGAGGGTAGAATGGACAGACAGAGCAGGGATACAGTGCAATGGACGGGTGCTCAGTGGCACCTGTGGAGTCACATCCCTCATGCGGAGGGGGGTAGGGGAAAAAAAGAAGGAGGGAGGGAGGGAAAGAGAGAGGCCCTAATGTTGGTGAAGATACAGTCATGACAATATGAGGTGCCATTTTCAACTCTTACGTGTTCAGGGACTGGGCTGAGTCCTTGGAATAGGCTCCCAGTCAGTCTACAAAGTGTGAGTGCATGGACGCTCACAAAGGCCCCACTGCATGTGTGTTCATATGTGTGCAAGGATGGGTGAGCATGTGTGTAAGCAAGCGTGTACACCTGTGTGAGCATGTGTGAACATGTGTCTGCATACATGTCTACACGTGTGTAAGCATGTCTGTAAGCACGTGTGTATGTATGTGTACGCTGTGGGTAAGCATGTGTGTAAGCATGTCAGTAAGCACTCTTGTGGAGGACACAGACTTCTCCCCTCGATCTCTTATCTCTTTGTTGCTGTTGTTCTGGAGATTGAACATAGTCCTCATGGTGGTAGAGCAAGCTCTGAACTGAGGGAACCATCTCCCCAGCTTCTCTGGTGCCCCCGGTTTAACCCTGCAAGGGCTATCATGTGGCTTGGGGAGCAGAAGGCCCTGACCAAGCTCACAGATGGGCGAGAAAGCCATCAGAAGCCAGCAGAGCCCAGGGTTTAACTGCCATGCCATGGAACTTCAGGACAGCTACCGTGTGTGTGTGTGTGTGTGTGTGTGTGTGTGTGTGTATGTGTGTGTGTGTGTGTATGTGTGTGTGTATATGTGGGTGTGTATGTGTGTATGTGTGTATGTATGTATGTGTGTATGTAGTGTGTGTGTATATGTGGGTGTGTATGTGTGTATGTATGTATGTGTGTATGTGTGTATGTGTGTGTATGTGTGTATGTATATATGTGGGTGTGTATGTGTGTATATGTGTTTGTATGTGTATGTATGTATGTATGTATGTATGTATGTATATGTACGTGTGTGTCCATGATCCCAGGACATGGGGTTTCTCCCCACAGTGGACTCAGATGCATAGACAGAGAGATAGTACTGGGCCAGGGTGAGCCCCAGATATCACAAGAAGTAAGAAGGGCTGGCATCCAGTTTTCTGGGACAAAGGACCTCTGAGCTGGTAAAGGCTGCGCAGGAACCAGGTTATGAAGGCTGAGAGAGGATGGAGGGTGCTCAACCCATCGGCCCCCACCGTGGCACAGGGAATTCAGAGACATTCGCTGCTGGCCATAGGAAGATGACCCAGATGATGTCATGTCTGGTTTGTAGGCTGGGCTGGGAGTAGCTGGGGTCAGAGGCTGAGCCAGGGCCAGCAGAGTAGGTTTCTCTGATGATGTAGCCTTTGCTTCCCTGCTCTTAGCCCTCCGGGGAGGTGGGGGAAGCCTTTTTCTGTTCCTGGGGACCTGGAGGGAGTCACCTGAGCTGCCTTGTCTATAAGGGGATGTGAAGAGAAAGGGTGCCAGGTCCTTTACTGTAAGAGTCTGCAAGGACTAACTTCCAATACGCAACTCCTAGCATCCAGTTCTAAAACAGTCTAATATCTGCATATAAAACCACGTGCATCCTGCTGGATACTTTAACTTTCCCGGGGATTCAGTTTAATGTCTAATGTCATGGACGCGCCGTGAGCACAGTCTTTGTACAGCAGGATGTTGTGACAAGAAATAGCAAGAAAAGGCCACGTGTGCTCAGAGCACAAGCCATTTCAGTCCAAATAGGTGTCCTCCCTCTCTCCCTCTCTCTCTCTCTCTCTCTCTCTCTCTCTCTCTCTCTCTCTCATCTTTTCTTTATTTTCCTTTTTAAAAATTTTGCTCATCTTTTCTACTTGGTGTTTGCATGTTTTGAGAGAGAGAAAATCTTGTTTTGTAGGTCAGGTGGTCTTCAAACTAGTGATCCCCTGCCTCCAACTGCCGGGATTATGGGGTGTCTGCCATCGTAACCAGCTTCCCAAAATTCTCTTTGTCTATGGCTGGTCGGATCCAGGGGATAGGAAAATCCATCAAAAAGGAAGACTGGTTCTGCTGGGAACTGGCCTGGCACACTGTGCTGCGACTGACCTTCCTAACCCCTCCGGTGGCCTTTGTCAAGGCAGATAGGGAAAGGCCAGCCAGGGAGGCCTGAGGAATGGTATGTTCCAGTCCATCTGCCTCCTGCTTGGGTCCAGGGCCAGGACATGGGCACAGGGCTGGCAGTTCCTGACTCCCAGGTTCTGTCAGTCACGACAAGCACCTCCCTCCTACTGCCCGGAACACTGTGATCACAATGGATGCCTGGCCTCTGCCAACTCCAAAGAGATATAATATCCCTGTCCCTCACACTCCTTACACCTCCCTACCACCAGGATGCTCATAGAATAAAGACACGGGACCCTATATACATCCTATGTCTACATATGTAGCTAGCCCAGGCCAGAGTGCTGGCTCCATGCCAGACACGCCTCTGTAGTGTTCAGCTGGCCCCATGTGGTAAATGAGAAAACAGGCTCAGAGAGGTGAAGCCTCTTGCCTATAGCCACACAGCTGGTGTGAGCATAGTCTGACCCCTGGGACTCTACAGAAAGGCTCACACACCCCCACACACACTCCTCTGAAGAGTGGACAGCCCCTAGTCCCATCTCTCCAAGCCTCCAAGCTTTAGCCTTGCATCCCGAGAGCTCAGCCCTCCCCTGTCCTGACCCCACAAATGTGCCCTCTCTGAGCCTCCTTCCCAGGGGTCCCTTCATTGTCCCCTTAAGGTCCCTGTAACCAGCGATTCGTGAAAGCCATCCCTGCGAAGCTGTAAGACTGGTCTCCGGTAGCACTAGAAGGCACCCTCGGAGAAAGCCCCTTGAGGAAATTGTGGTTAAGAGCAACATGGCCTCCCTTGAAGAACTGTTACTTCCTCTATCTCCATAATCTGTGATCTGAATTAATCATCTCTCCCCCTTTTCATGTGGCCACAAGAAAGCTCGAGGTCATGTTTGCAGGTCCCGGCAGTAGCTCCCTTTAACTCCGTGGTTCTGCAGCTTTCCACGGTGGGTCCTCGTGTATCTAACCCTACCTACACTGTACTGGTTTCAGTTCTTTGTGATAGAGAATGGCTGAGTTACAGAGTCACCCAGGTGCTGGGCTAAACCCCGTTATCCCCGTTAGCTGCCGGGTTCCACCATCTTCAGGGGCAATACCATGGTTGCTCCATCGTGAAGGTAACAGAGTACAGTTCACGTTGTGCTCAGCCAGTGACTGCTTCCTCGTGCCCAGATCACTCCGCCCTCCGCCCTTGGTTGTAGAACACAGAACA